GTGTCCTGCTGGACATACAAACAGCAGTGACAGTGAGGTGATGATATACTGTGCAAAGTCACATTTTGGCATAGCACAGCAAATAAAGATGTCATAGATATATCCACGTAGATATTGCATCAATGCAACATTGTTCTGGCCAGTTAAAATAATAAAAAATGCCAGTCTTTTGTGTTGCTACTGGATGTTTTAATGAAATATATGCAGGAAACAGGGTATAACAAAGGTTACAATATTGTAACCCTAGTTCTTTTAGCACAGGCCTTTACAGGGCTTTATGGGTAATACTCTCCTTCGGTCATGAGCATGTATTTACAAACTGAAATTTACATAAATGTAGCCGGCCAACAAAGACTTACCTTCGTGAATACTTAATGGGGCCTATAATGGGGCTGACAGCCACCCTTCACCCTCTTCAGCAAGTGGCTGAATTTTTTTTTTTTTTAAATTTTATATACTTTATTAATCCCCCTGAGGGGAAATTCAATTTTTCACTCTGTTGTCAATTACACACAGGTCCGAACACACACACACAAACTGAACCTATACATGCACTACATGCATACAAGTGGAGAGATGTCAGAGTGGGGGTGCCCATGACAGGCGCTCTGAGCGGTTGGGGGTTCGGTGCCTTGCTCAGGGGCACCTCGGCAGTGCCCAGGAGGTGAACTGGCACCTCTCCAGCTACCAGTCCACGCTCCATATTTTTGGTCTGGATGGGGACTTGAACAGGCGACCCTCCGGTTCCCAACCCAAGTCCCTATGGACTGAGCTACTGCCGCCCCCAACATCACTGCCCTCATACTTCCATGCGTCCCTTAATGCCCAGGTCAGACCAAATATTCACAACGAGATGAGGTGAAACAGGCAACAACTTGCAATATATCGTTCTGCAACGTTCTAAAAACATTCATACTAATGTAACTAGATGAGATGGTGTATCATCTCTATGCAACAACTCTATACTTCAGTTTTGATTTCCAGCTTTTCAGGCTGATTTTGTGGCTGAATATAATGTGTAGCCTCTTAAATATGAATGAGGATAGTGATGGTGAGACACTGGCTACAGTTGCATTTGCATTTGTAGTAGTAATAAAAGGGTGAACAACAGAAACAAAATGAGCATCAGTTGGACTATATTCATAATAAATAGGAGCAGCAGCAGCCGACCACCATCCGACACTGACACAACATGAGGACAGAAACAGAGGGCTTGGGGGGATGAAGCAGCAAGTGAAAACGCTGCCTGCTGTCATTTTGACTTGGCCAGCAGACTTCACTACAAGCCAAGTGGCTATTTAAACAGGTGATGTGCTTATAAAACCAGCCACAAGTGATTTGACCAGCTAAGCTACAGGAGACACCATCAGCTGGCTTGAGTCGTGCTCAGACAGACCAGCTCACATCACTGCAACTTTTCTCTGCAATGCTCGAAAACAATTTTGTCTCATTGTGAATCTTTGGTCTGAACTGTATGGAGCTACAACAGTCTCAAAATAAATAAATGTACACAGAAATTAATAAATGCACAAAAAAGGATTCACAAATGTATTTGGGGATTTATATATATGTATATAACTCAAAACACAAACACATTTTCAATGCACACAAAAATATGTTTCATTCCATATATAAGTAAAAGAAACTCCACATATAAAAGATAATTTTTATCAACATATTTGTGATGCACACACAAATATTTCTTGTTTTAAATATGTGCAATTGAAATTCTCAAATGTACGTGTGTCAAAGTATTTGCAATTTTCATCAAATACATATTTGGAGGTTGTTACATTGATATATGAACTGTCAAACCTGCATTTACAATGTGCTTTTAATTTGTAAACTTCCCTGCATTTGTGTGTGGGAGTTTTGAGACCCCTCTGACGTGACTCGATTCACAAATGCATTTTTTCTAAGAGGGGATTGTCTGCAGCCAATCAGATGTCTCACTCCTTTACAGCCAATCACATGAGTGCCTCCCCACAAGGGGTGTTATATGACGTCATTAAAGCGCGCGCAGGTGGGAGTAAAAGGGGATCTATGGCTGTCCTTTTTCATGTGTTTTTTGGCAAGATGTCTGTACATTTATTTCCCAAAACATTTCTCTGGTTCCTTTACTATACTGCTAACAACAAAGATCAATGTTACATCATCAACTTAATTTTGTTACTTGCAAAATACCATATTCACAAATCCAAATTCTCTAATCATAAACCATCTTTTTTAATTTTTGAAAAGGAGTTCAAACATTACATTATAATAATCCAACATTCTATCCACAGAAAAACCATCAAAATGTTATGTATGATGTAACCCCCCCGGCATTGTATTGAGTTCATGTTCTGTTTTGTCTACAATTTTGTATTGACTGACATATCAATAAAGTTAATTAAGATTTTATTTATGGATTTATGGTTGTGCATAGACCCTACACACGTCACCTACAGTGTGTACCTGCAGTTACACCTCCAAAACGCTAGTCGGCGGCGGAGGTTTCTGTGAAGTGCTGTAAAGTTTAATTGATTCAAAACACACATTAAACACACATTAAACATGTCTTCATAGAGACAATTTCAAACACAAGTACAAAAATTAGCTTCACTACAACTCACAGCATTCACAGACAGACAATGTGTTAATCCGGACACATTTTCCCCACAAATACAACATGATAACGTTATTAGCACAAGCCTATGGCATTTTACATTGTATTGATTAGCCTAGCGGCCGGCGATCTTTCCCTCTTCTCATATAAATCAACACAGAACAAACTCCAGCAGGACAGCAGGACAGGTCAAAACTGTGTAGCCCAGGATGGGTGTTTAAGTGTGGGTGAGAGGAGCTGAGAGGACTGTGGAGGTCTCAGGGCGTCGGTAGTGTAGTGGATAGTGCCGGCGCCCCATGTACAGAGGCGAAGCCTCGCTGCAGTGGTCGCAGGTTCAACTCTGGCTTGCAACCCTTTGCTGCATGTCAACCCCCGCTCTCTCTCTCTCACCCCATTTTTCACTCTGTCCTGTACATTAAAGGCAAAAAGCCCAAAAAATAATCTTAAAACAAAAAACAAAAAAAAAAAAAAAAGGACTGTGGAGGTCAGGTGGGACAAGCCATTACTATTACTAATTAATTTCTTCTAAATTACATTACTCTGTTACTAAGCCTTCACTCGGAAAATTAAACGGTCCTGAAACTGCAGCCTCCAGTACTGCAGCTTCACCTTTACTCCCACCTGGAGTCGCGCGCTTTAATGACGTCATATAATACCACTCGTGGGGAGGCACTCATGTGATTGGCTGTATAGGAGTGAGACATCTGATTGGCTGCAGACAATCCCCTCTTAGAAAAAAATCCATTTGTGAATCGAGTAACGTCAGGGGAGTCTCAAAACTTGCGCACACAAATGCAGGGAAGTTTACAAATTAAAAGCACATTGTAAATTGACAGTTCATATATCAATGTAACAACCTCCAAATATGTATTTGATGAAAATTACAATTACTTTTACATGCGTACATTTGTGAATTTTAATTGCACATATTTAAAACAAGAAATATTTGTGTGTGCATCACAAATTTGTTGATAAATCTTGTTTTTTATATGTGGAGTTTTCTTTACTTATATGGAATGAAACATATTTAGCTGCGCATTGAAAATGTGTTTGTGTTTTGAGTCATA